CCCAAACTTCCGGTTAAGGTAAATAATAGGGTGATTTACGGATTACTGGACACCGGAAGTGACGTCACTATCCTTAATCAGCAGTCCTGGCCACAAAACTGGGCTTTAAAAGAGGTTAATGTTCAATTCTTAGGGATTGGAACCCTATCTGAAGTTAAACAGAGCGTTAGATGGATTGACTTTATTGGGCCAGAAGGACAGAGAGGAAGGTTAAAGCCATATGTTGCAGATATTGCTATAAACCTCTGGGGTCGTGATCTACTCCAGCAATGGAATACGCAGATTAAAATTCCTCCTGTATCAGCTAGGAATTATAGACAAGCTCTTAGTGGTAGTAAGAATATAGTAAGACAGTACAGAAAACAGATGCCAAACGTACAGGCTGTGCAGAAGCAAGATGCTAGTGCCAAACCTACAGAGCAACCAAAAGCTCTACCATTAAAATGGCTGACAGATGAACCCGTCTGGGTGGGTCAATGGCCTATGACATCTGAGAAGTTAGAGGCTTTGGAGAAGTTAGTTCAGGAACAGCTAGATGCTGGACATATTGAGGAATCAACTAGTGCATGGAATTCGCCTCTTTTTGTTGTCAAGAAGAAGTCTGGTAAGTGGAGAATGGTTACTGATCTTAGAGCCATCAACAAGGTAATTCAGCCTATGGGGTCTCTACAACCTGGGATGCCGTTACCTTCTCTAATTCCTAAGGATTGGCCAATTATAGTTATAGACTTAAAAGATTGTTTCTTCACCATACCGTTACAAGAAAACGACAGAGAAAAGTTTGCCTTCACAGTACCTACCTATAATAATTCCCGTCCGGTACAGAGATTCCAGTGGAAGGTACTACCTCAAGGTATGTTAAACAGTCCAACTTTGTGTCAATATTTTGTGAATAAACCTCTAGAAATAATTCGTAAAAAATTTCCACATTCGTTAATATATCATTATATGGATGACATATTATTGTCTGATTCAAATAAGGATACTTTGGAAAAGATGTTTGAGGCAGTAAAGGAAATTTTGCCTCGCTGGGGATTACAAATTGCCCCAGAAAAAATACAAAGAGGAGATTCTATTAACTATTTAGGTTATAAAATAGATGCTCAGAAAATTAGACCACAGAAAGTACAGATCAGAAGAGATCGTTACCGGACTCTTAATGATCTTCAAAAACTATTAGGAGAAATCTCTCAATTACAGACAATTATTGGTGTAGAAGGGCATGATTTAAAACACCTGAAAATGGCTTTAAAAGGAGATAAAGACCTAAACAGCCCACGAGTACTATCAGCTGAGGCTGAAAAAGAATTAGAATGGGTAGAAAAGAGAATATTAGAAGCACATGTGGACCGTGTGGATCCAAATCTGGACTGTATTCTGGTTATTTTACCATCTAGAGAATACCCCTCAGGAATATTAATGCAGAGGGACGACATCATTCTAGAATGGGTATTTCTGCCACATAAACAGAATAAAAAATTGAAAACCTATATAGAAAAGGTCTCAGATTTGATATTAAAAGGTAAATTAAGGCTTCGTCAACTGACTGGGAAAGACCCAGCTGAAATTATTGTACCTTTAACGAATGAGGAAATTTCCTCCTTATGGAAGGATAATGAGTATTGGCAAATAGCTTGCAGTGACTTTTTGGGAAGTAGTAGTAATAACTATCCCAAAACAGAGAGAATCAAATTCATAAAGAAAACAATTTGGATTCTTCCACGTATCGTGAGGCAAACACCTATTTCTGGAGTTCTTACCTTCTACACGGATGCAAACAAGTCAGGTAAAGCAGGGTATAAATCAGGAAATATAAGTAAAGTAGTTCAAAGCCCTTACAACTCTGTACAAAAGGCAGAGTTATATGCCATTCTCATGGTACTTAAAGACTTTACAGAGCCTCTCAATATAGTCACGGATTCTCAGTATGCAGAAAGAGTTGTCCTGCACATTGAGACTGCAGAATTTGTTCCTGATAATACAGAATTAACCTCATTGTTTTTACAATTGCAGGAAATCATCAGAAACAGGACTCATCCTATATATATAACACACATCAGATCCCATACAGGTCTGCCAGGTCCTCTGGCACAAGGCAATGATGAAATTGATCGTTTATTAGTAGGTAATGTGTTGGAAGCTTCAGAATTTCATAAGAAACACCATGTTAACAGCAAAGGTTTAAAGAAGGATTTTTCTATCACCTGGCAACAAGCCAAAGAAATAGTAAGAAATTGTCCCAGTTGCTCATTGTACAATCAAACTCCATTACCAGCAGGTTGTAATCCTAAAGGTATTCACAGAAATGAACTCTTGCAAATGGATGTATTTCACTTCCCAGAATTTGGCAGTTTGAAATATGTACACCATACTATAGACACGTACTCAGGTTTCCAATGGGCTACTGCCCTCAGCTCTGAAAAAGCTGACTCTGTTATTACACACCTCTTAGAGGTAATGGCTGTTATGGGTATACCTAAAACAATAAAAACTGACAATGGTCCAGCATATGTCTCCAGTAAATTGGAACAATTCTTCAAATATTATAATATAAAACATGTAACTGGTATACCTTACAATCCCACAGGACAAGCAATAATTGAAAGGTCTAACCGAACCTTAAAAGAGATGCTTCATAAACAGCCAGGGAAAACAAAGACACCTAAACACAGGTTACACAATGCTTTACTAACGTTGAATTTTCTTAATGCTGATGAAAAAGGACAAACTGCAGCAGAAAGACACTGGACTACAGAGAAGACTTCTGAACTGAAACAACCGGTGTATTTTAAGGATGTTATGACCTCAGTCTGGAAACCAGGATATGTGTTACGTTGGGGAAGGGGTTATGCTTTTGTTTCTACAGGAGAAGAAAAGGTTTGGGTTCCATCAAAATTAATTAAAATTCGATCAGAACAGAAAACATCTCAGGAGGAGGAAGATAACAGCCCATCTACAAATTCATAGTCCACAATGGGTAAAGTGACCTCCTAAAAGGAAAGAGAAGTGCTTTGTTTTTGTCCTCACAGGTAAACTCAGCAAAGAATACTGGACACATGGATTCCTGTAGAAGAATGAATAGCTACCCTGAGGACCATCAAACACACACTGTGTGGTATCAAAGTCTAAATCTCTCTATATTGCTTTTTCATAGTACGCTTTTATCTTTATTTCTTCACATACCTCAGTTCCCATTCATTTAACTGAAGCTGGCTTTGGAGTTGGATTGGCTCTCCTACTCTAAACCCAAGCATATTATTTAAATACAATTCAGAATTTCTGTATTATATCAAAGAGCCATTGATATAAGACAGAAGAAATAAAAAATGAGGGACTGTTATCTATGGATTTCTTTTTCTGAACAGTCTAATTTCCTCCAGGTTTTCCATCTTCCCTATTGTCACCTCTTTTGTATGCATACATATGAAAGTTAAAATATTTCTTCGTTAACATTAATGTTTGAGTTTTCCAGAGAACAAGGGATTTCCTGACAGCAATCTTCAACTGCTTCCGAAAGAGAATGAGGATCCACTTCCTTGACTTCACCTGATTCGACTGGAGGCATCTGAATTGCCCCACATCATTGACTCCACCTGACAAGCACTATCCTGAAACTGGCTTGAACCTACATCACTCGACACAACTCCAGACCAAGGAACAGAAATAGCACATCTTCTACAATCTGACCAGAGCTTCAAGATAAGAGCTTCAATCAACACTAGAACCTCAGTCAGGAACTTCAATCAAGCATCTCCTGCCATATTGAGACTGTCTGATCTACTTAGATTTTATTATACTAACATTTTCTTTTCACAGGTCCCCATGAGATTATCATCGTCCCATCTCAGCAGGAAGTAGTTTTGAGAATTCCACGCCCCCCTCTCCCTACTATTGATATTATAAGTTTACACCTGCTAGTGTTAGTTTTCCATTATTTTAGAGTTGGGATTGGAAGGAGGTGTTCATATTTGGGTGTTTCTTTAAGATAAGTTTAGGTTTAGATAGAATAGATGTTTGATACATTTTGTTCATGGACACAAGTTAGTTGTCCTTTTTTAGACTAAAAGGGGAATTGTAGGAGGAAGTCTATGCCGCCATGAAACATGTGACTTACTAGAGGCGCATACAGATGAGGTAATAAAAGGGCGGTTTACCACACCGCTAACCACACCCACTTTAGGCAGGACTAAAGACGTATACGTACGTAGGCGGAACTACGTCACTAGCCAAGCCCACTTTTGGGCATGGCTAGGGGCGTTACGGGGGGAAGGCATAAAAGACAGCGCACAGGAAGTCTCGCTCTCTTTTCCTGGAGTTCGGCTTCCGGTCCAGTCGCTAGCGGAGATCTGCTGGGCTTCTCGGGGTTTGGTATCTTGTGAGTAATTTTCTATATAAAATACTTAGCCTTATTTTCAGTAATTGTGTGTCGCGTATCGTTACAGCGTCCGTAAAGCCAACAGTCAGGGAGTAGAATGTGGTGGTTTGAATAAGTATGGGTCCCATAGACATATGTGTTTGAGAGTATAGGGAATAGCATATATCATGAATAATATAAACCCATAGACAGATATTGGGATTTGAGCTGAAGATCAGAAAAACAAAGCATTCAAGCTGCCAGAGAGCTCTCACCTCTACCAAGGCTGGTAGGGGGATTCTGGTCTCAACATGGCTGGAGACTAATTGCCTAAGACTTAATATTGAATACCACATGAGACCCTGAGTTACTTCTTATATACCTCTCTAGTGCTAGGATTAAAAGTGTGAGCTCTTTTTCTCTTTTAGATTGATTCACTCTCATGTAGCCCTGGGTGTACTCAAAGAGATCCATCTGTCTCTCCTGAGTTCTAGGATTAAAGGTGTATGCTGCCAATGCCCAGCTTCTATGACTATGGTTAGCTTGTCATTCTGATCTCCAGGCAAGCTTTATTAGATCATAAACAATGTGTTACTACAGTAGCACTATTAGGAGGTTGTGGGAAATTTGTCATTGTGGAGGAAGGCATTGAGGTTTTATATACTCAAGCTATGCCCAGTGTGATATACAGTTTACTTAACTACTGCTGGAAGATCAAGATGTATAAGTCTCAGCTCCTCCTGCACATCTGTTGTATGCCATCTACCATGATGACAATGGACTAAACCTCTGAAATTGTAAGCCAGCCTCAATTATTAAGTGTTTCCTTTATAAGAGTTGCTGTGTTCATGGTGTCTCTTCACAGTCTTAACTAAGACAATATATGATGGAAAAGCAGCCGGACTGAATCTTTATGGCTTGGTAAACATCATGGTTGCTTCTAAATGATTTTCTGTACTTTTAAAACTATAGCATCCTGGGTACCAATCTCTGTAAGTCAAGCTTAAGAAACTTGGTAATGGGGCCCAGGACCTGATGTTCATCTGCTAGCAGGAACTGAGGGTCCCTTGTACTCATGTGAGCTTTGTTCCTTCTCAGCACCTAAGTTTATCCCAAAGCACATGCTGCTAAACCAACTACTAACTTTCTCTCTAGAAATTTAGGAAGTGGTGAGTAGATATGAGGAAAGGATCCTGGATCTCCCAAGTCTTGGACACTGAAAGGCAAAACAGCTTAAAAGCCTGCTCATGTGTAGGGTTTTTGATAGTCTTGGCCCAATGACCTTCTACTAGTGATTTCTTCTTGTATTTAATAGTGTTCCAAAGGAAACTCATGAATGGCATGCCTCAGTAGGGTTCTGTTGCTCTTCCCCATGCACAAACTTAGATTTTTGTGGATCTGTATTGTTTTGGGATAGTGTGATTTGATTCACGAATGCTCTGATCTTTGTGCTTTTCAGCCTGTTAGCTCTACATCTAGTTTGTTTTCTATTTCACCACTGCCTAGTCCTCTAAGGTGGAAAGTTAGATTGTTAATATAGTGAGTTAGGCTCTTTAATAAATGTCTGTATAGTTATAAATTTCTCTGTGAACATCTCACACATGTCCTCAAGTGTTTGTGCATTCCTTTTAGTCTTCTCTAAATATTTTCTATTTTACATTTATTGGTGTTTATTATTTAATTGAGTTATCTCTCTCTCCCCGTGTGTGTGTGTGTGTGTGTGTGTGTGTGTGTGTGTGTGTGTGTGTGTGTGTGCTCATACCACAGCACATGTATGGAGGTCACAGGACAGTTTGACTTTCCTTCCACCCTGTGGGTTCTGAGGGCTGAACTTAGGTGGCAAGCTTAACGCCAAGCACCCTTACCTCCTAAGTCAGCTTACCAGCCTTTAAATATTTTCCAAATCCCTATGTGATTTCTTCCCTGACTACTAATTTATGAGCATGCTGTTTAATTTCCACATATCTGTGAAATTTTCAGTTACCTTCTCTTATTTTCCGCTTTAAAGAATTGTGGCTAGAGAAAATGCTTGCATGATTTTGGTCTTTTGAAATGTCTTCTCTTTGTACACACCCTTGTGCATTTTAGCGGAATGCTTATTTTGGTAGGGGGGGGGTGCTGCATAGAGATAGGTCTTATATGCCTGACTGGTTTGTGCCATTGTTCAAATCCTCTATTTCCTAAGCAGCTCTCTGTGTAGATATTCTGTCCAGTTATTGAAAGTAAAGCACTTAAGTCAGAGATTATTCTGTTAGAGTGTTTTATTCCTGTGGCTTTTTGGATAAAAATGACCTCCAAAGGCTCATAGGGAGTGACACTATTAGGAGGTGGCCTTGTTGGAGGAAGTGTGTTACTGGGGGGTGAGCTTTGAGGTTCCAAATGCTCAAGCTTTCAAATGATCCCGTGTCAGAGGATCCATACGTAGAACTCTCAGCTCCTTCTCCAGCATCATGTTTGTCTGTGTGTCACCATGCTTCCCACCATGATGATAATGGACTAAAACTCTGACCTATAAACTAGCCCCACTTAAATGCTTCCCTTTGTAAAAGTTGCCATCGTCATGGTGTCTCTTGACAGAAATAAAAACCTTAACTAAGACACCTTGCTTCAGTTCTATTAATGCTTACTTCATGTACTTGGGATTCTGCTGTTTGATGTGCATGTATAAATTGCAATTATCCATGCATCTTGTCCTTCTTTGTATCTTGTAACAACTGTGACTTTTAGTCTCTTTTCTAGCATTACCATGGCCATGGCCACTCTATCCTTTATACTATTTGCTTGAGGAAAAGTTGTTCTTCTGTTTGTCTTTCAACTTACTAATGGAGAGAACGTGATCACACAGAGACAGGTAATATTCTTTAGCTATTCTGGCAGAATATTTATTTAAATGGAAGAGTCTGAACAATGGGCACTTAGAATAACTGGGAAGGTCCTTCTGTTCTTTGTCTTCTGCCTTATGTCTTTTCTGTTCTTCAGGTTCTGTCTACGACTTCTATTTGTGTTTGATGTCTTTTTTATTATCTTTTATGCATATTTTGAGGTTCTTTCTTTGAGTAGTTATTCTAGGAATAGCACTTAATAATTGAAATTTATAGCTCCCTATTTTGAATTGAAGCTAACTCATTTTCAATAATATTAATTTTTTACTCCTATAGAACTCCACACATCCCTTCCCTTCTTTATGTTTTTGTTGTTAGAGTTATACCATTTATGTTGTATGTTTATGCTATATATACATACATATGCATATATATTTTCAATTCTGGGAATAGAACACGCACAGGGCCTTGTGTATTGTAGGTAAGCAATTTACTAAACTAACATATATTTACAATTATTGTTTATATATCTGTGTTTTAAACAATATATAAAATAAAAAGAGATGTTCAAATAAAAATTTGAATTTTCTTTCTTTCTTTCTTTTTTGACAGAGTCTAACTATATATATCTGGGTGGCCTGGAACTTCCTATGTAGATCAAGCTAACCTTTCACTCACAGTGACCTGTCTCTGTCCCACTAATTCTGGAGCTAAAGGCATTCACCACCATGCCTGACCAGTATTGGTTTTAGCTTTGCCTGTTTAGGAATGCCTATACTGTTGTTCTTTATTTTTTCATATAGGTTCAGGTAACCATATATTGTCATATTGTTTCACTCTAAAGAGACTGTATTAATCTTTTTGTTGCTGCGATGAACCACCAAAACCAGAAGTGACTTATCGGATAAAGGGTTTATTTGGCTTATGGTTCCATGTCTCTCTCTATATGGTGAGAGAGACATGGCAGCAAACAGCCGAAGCAGAATGCTGCGAGATCTTCAACTGCAAACATGAATCAGAAAGCAAAGTGGGAGTGGTCAAGGCCATAGACTCTCAAGACTTGCTTTGACAATACATGATACACTTCCTCCAACCAGGCTCCACCTCTTAAAGTTCCCGTAGACTTCCCAAACAGCACCACCAGTTTATTTTTCATTTTTTGGCTAACTTATTTTTATTTTTATACTTGCTTTATATCTCAGATAGCCTTGAACTCACAATTTTCCCACCTTAGTCTCTTTGATGTGAGTATTGCATAATTTTCCACCACACGCAACCTATCCTTCAGTTTTAAAGGCAAACTTTACCTGATTCAGAAGTTTTAGTTGACAGTCCCCCTCTGCACCAATTGTTTTGAACACATCAACTCATAGACTCTGTATTCCTGGTTTCTGAAGAGAAATTGCCCACAATCTCATTGAACATCCTTGAATGGGAGGAGCTACTTCTACTTCTGTCTTGCAGCTTTTAAGGCTTTTGTTTTATGTTTTGTTTTTTAAAAAGTTACATTTAAGTGTATGTGTATCACTGGGGGTGGGGTTTGAGGTTTCAAAAGAGCACAGCATTACTAATTAGCTCTCACTTTTTCTGCTTTCTGTTTGTGAATCCCATGTAGGTTCTCAGCGACTGCTCCATTGCCAGGCTTGCCTGCCAGCTGCCATGCTTGCTACCATGATGGTCATGGACTTAGCCATCTGAAACTGTAAGCCCATCCCCAATTAAATGCTTGCTCATGGGGTCTCTCCACAGCAATAGAACAGTAACTAAGACAGGGTCCCAGGGTTCTAGTGCATGTCACCAGACTTGGTGCCTCTTCCTCTTTTTGTCACTGGTTATAATACAGGTTTCAAGTGAACCTCTGAATATAGTACTAGAACTTGCTAAGCTTCCAGGTTATATAAACACACACCTCTTCCAAATGATTCCTGCCCATTGTTTGCTCACACCTTTCCATCCCCTGGCATCCTCTGCCAGAGCTCTGCTTTTTGTCAGGCTGCTATCACCTGCATGCATATCTGTTTCACAGATTCCCATAGGTCTTACATCCTCTGATAATTTTTAATTCCTTTCTATTCCTTCTTCTCAGCCTGGAAAATTTTAACTGCTTTATCTTTAAGTTTACTAACTCTTCCTCCCTCCTATCCAAATCTGCCCTTCACACCTCTTTGAACTTTTCATTTTAGTTACTTTACTTTCTCGCACTTCAGTTTTGATTTTATTCCTTTTCGTTATTTCTGTTTCTCTATTGATATCTGTTCCTTTTTTAAAATTAAGATTTATTTTATATGTATGGTAGTTTTGTCTGCATCTATGTGCATGCACCATGTGCAGACCTAGTGCCTGTGGAGGTAGGATGATAGCATTGGGTGCCTCCAAACTGGAGTTATAAATGGCTGGGAGCTGCCATATGGATTCTGGGAACAAAACTCCATACCATTGCAAGAACAGCAAGAACTCTTAACAGATGAGCCATCTCTCCTACCCCTATTGATATCTATTTTTTTACACATCATTCTGGTTTCCTTTAGTTACTAGCCCATAGTTCTCAATTCAAAGCTTCCTACTTTGGGTAGTGATGGGTTCATCAAGTCATAGTGGGTAAGTTGCCCAGGCAACCCTGATGTACCCTCATATATAAGGATCACCTCAAATTTGCTCACGTGGTATATCCATCTCTGCCATGTCACAGTCTCTTTATTGCTGTTGTTTTGTTTATTTATATTTATTTATTTTGTTAATTAAATGTTTTCATTGACTTTATCCTGGCTGAGTTACCCTTTCCTCCTCTCCTTCTGTTCCCTGCCTCTCACCTCCCCTTTGACACCCCCTACCCCACATCCACTCCTCCTCTGTCTGTTCAGAAAGGGGCAAGCCTCCCATGGGCATCAACAATGTCTTTAATTCTAATCATTTGGTTCCTTCCCTCACCACTCTATGGCTATGATTCCCAGCCTTAGTGGATATTTTATTTTAATTTCAAGAGAAGCTGTAGAAAAACCTGATGTTCAGGACTCAGACCAGACAGACTAGGCTATCTAGGGGAGCCCTCAGCTATTTAAAAATTCAAACTCCCAGGAGATCACAGAGTGGGCTTCAAGGTTGATGCAAGTGTCCCTGTCTTGTCACTAGTGACTTCTTACCATAAAACCTGCCTGTTTCTCTACAGGTCATTGAAATACAGCTTAGTGTGTTCGCATTTGGACTGGAATCCTCTCTTTAGAATGCTACTTGCTGCAGAACTTTCTCTGACCCTGGGTCTTTCTCCCCATTTCCTCATGGCTATATGCAAATGCTTCCCTTTACTGTTCCTTCTTTCACATCTGGACCACAATGACAGGTCTTGTCATCTTGACAGGTCAGACCCAACACAGATTCTTCAAACCTAGTTTTGGCTTCTCTAGATAGCTAACCACACAGCTTTCTCAGTCATTAAGGTCCTAGCTTTTGGACTAACTACCTATTATGGGTTGGATGACTTCAGTAAGTCTTCCAAAGATTCATGTGTTGAAAACTTGGCTCCAGTTTGAGGTGGTGTTACCTTTTTAAGGAGTATGGTCTAGTGGGAGCTTGTTAGGTTACTGATGATGCTCCCTTAGAAGTCATCAAAGTAGTTCTCTGTTTTGCTTCCTGTATTACCATGTGATTTCTTCTAGTAAGCACTCCAATGATTGGCTAAGTCTCTGGGTGGGACTCACCAGAGGTCAGGAGATGTAGCAACCCAGTTTTCATTCTCAAATCTATGAATGAACAAACCTCTTTTCTATGTAAAGTTTCCCGCTTTAGCTATTTTATTATAATAATGGTAGATTAATATACTGCCAAAATTTCTTTAATTGGTCTAGGTAAATAGATAATTTTTAAAAAGGAAACACATCTTCCAGGTACTATACAAATCATGAAAATTACCAGGTTAAATAAAACTTAATCTATGCCCATGATGGCTATTCTTGGTTGGCAATTGACTACATTTGGAAGGAACTACAATCTGGAAATGGAGGGTACACTTGTGAGAGATTTTTTTGCTTGGTTTGAGGTTAATGAATCCATTTCTAGTCCAGACCTTTGATCTGTGCCATACTTTCTCGTGGAAGCCTATATAAGGACATAGAGGAAGAAAGCATGCTTGCCCTCACCTTACTAGAACATTTCTTAATTGGTGTGAGAACCTATTTCTTTGGGATTCTAGCATATACTGAAGACCAGCTGAGACATTCGGCCTTGTGGATCGATCAACTACTGGATTCTTGGACTTTCTGTTCACAGCAGACATTGTTGGATTATCTGGACTGCTACTTGTAAGTCATTTCAATAAATCTAACATATATAAGTTCTATAATAAGTTCTGTTACTCTAGAGAACTGTGACTAGTACAATACCTATGTGGAACTTGTTGGCTATCCACCAAGATCTGTTATTTAATCAAACAAACAAAAAATCCCTATCACACTTGTCTTTTTTATTCAATTTTGGTTGCCATTTAAATATTTTACATTCATTTATATATTTATTTAGTATGTGATTGTGTGTATATGCATGCCATAGTGTGTGTGTGTGTGTGTGTGTGTGTGTGTGTGTGTGTGTGTGTGTGTGTAGGTTAGAGACAACTACCAGGAGTTGGTTTACTCCTTCCATTGTGTAGGTTTTGAGAACTGAACTCAGATTATTAGACATAGTGACAGTGCCCTCATTTGATAAGTTATATCACTGGCCCACTTATTTTTAATTAATATTAAAAGAAAGCTTGTATGTGGGGGTATTTTGCCTGTATATATGTCTGTGTATCACACATGTGCCCCGTGCCTGTGGAAGCCAGTAAAGGGTTCTGGATTCCCTGAAATTGGAGTTGCAGGCATCTGTGAGATGTCTTGTAGGCTCTCTGTGAATTAAACTTGTCAATCCCCACCTGTTGATCTTATAGTTTGAGAACCACAACCCCTCAATTGGTGACCATTTGTGTATTTTGATTGACTTTACTCCAGGAGGTTGTTAGTGGAACACCCTCCTCAAATCCAGGCCTAGCACAGAATTCTTGTTCCTTTTTTTGCATGCCGTCTAAGAAGCCAAATGCTGTTTAGTCCCCCCCCCCCCCCGCCCATTTTAACCATTTGGTGCCTCTGCTTTCATTCCTCTTGCTATCTAGAATATCTGCTGGTCCCATTCTCTTGTGTCTCACCCTCCTTCAGTATAATTGTGTGGTCTTTGTCAACTTGCTCTTCTTTCTTTAAATTCCTAGAGTCTGTGCCCCTTATCTCACATTGTTTTGGAACAGCATCTTTGGTCCTTTCTCAGCCTTTTTGTCTCTAAGCACCCAAGCACAAGTGTTCTGAGTCTTCCTGGAGCTACTGAAGCCTGGCAGAAAGTCTTGCATTGAGCAGGTGCACCGGTCTTTCTTATCCTCCAGCACTGTGAGCTAGTATGCCTTCCTCATATGGCAGAGGTTGGAAAGCCAAAATTCTCTTTCTCAGGCTCCCTGGTGTACTTACCAGCTCTTTTATTTTCTGTTCTCTGAAAGTAAATGCTTGGAGCATCTCTGACTCGATTTACTGCTATTTCTGGTGCCAGCCAATTACCACCCAGCAAGAGTGAATAGCTGGCCTATGAGCAAACCTTCCAGCTCACTAATCAAGGCCCAATGGACCACTGCTTCCTTTATTAGGACCTTGAAATCTGGGTCAATGTCTTCTTGACCTGCTGCCCCAGAGAATGAGGAACAATCTCTATACCTCCATGGTCAAGCTGAAACTATCCTAAAGCATCAGTCTTTTAAGTTTTACACTGTCTTGCCCAATTGCCCCAATGGAAGCCTTATCTGAGGCCTAATCCCCTGTGCCTGACTATGTTTTCTGCCCCTTGCACAGCACAGCTGTGTCAACAAACTGTCCTTTCAGTGGTAACCATTTTCTGATCCGTTGGCCATACTCTATCTCAATTGTTCTAGTAATGTAGTTTGTCTTCAATCACATGCTACAAAACCGGTACCTGAGAATGAGCACAGGCCTTCAGACAAGACCTGGGAGGCAGAGGTGAGTACACATCTAATGCCCAGTTCCCTAGTGTTAGCCATTATAGTTTCCTTTCTGTTGCTGTGATAAACACCATGACCATGGGTGACATTGCCTACAGAGGGCTTGTATTGAAAACTTTAAAAAGTCAAACTTCTAAAGTTTTCACTCAGAGTTCAAAAAAAAAAAAAAAGAAACCACAATTAAGAAAAGGAACTAAAATCTGAGGGAAAAAGTAATTGACTCACACACAATTGCTCCTTTGTATGTTCCTTTATTCTCCTGCTCTCTTTCTCTCTTGTTCTCTTCTCCCCGAGTTCTTGGAGGTACAGGTACTTATACATTTGCAACAGTAATTCTTTTTGCAATAGAATGTGAATCTTGGGTTTCTCAGGACTAGCAAGGCAGATAAGATTTATACACAGAGCAATAAAAACTGCTCAGAGAAACTTTTAGCATCAATTGCTTAGGGCTGTAGGTCAAAGAGGATCTAAGTTTAGTTTGCACAAGAAACAAGGCCCGGAGCCTTCCAGTGCTCTGGTCTCAGTGGCTGCGCAGACCTTCAGGAAAGTTAACTTTTCCCTTAGGATGAGCAAATGGGCTGATTACCTTTGTCTTTATCTTCTCATGGCAAACAGGATGGAGTAGTAAATCTCTGAGCTAAAATCTTGAGTTAATAAAGTAAGAAGTTTGAGAATCTTTTAGTGCAGGGTTAGTTTAAGTTATCACTTCTCTATGTGCCAATGAGGTAAAACCAGGCCATGCTTATTTTTTTGTATCCATGTAGGCAGCTATGAATCAGCAACTTTGGGTGTGTAGTAATTCTATGTCCTTGTATATCTGAGAATGTCTTAGATTGAATGCTTTTACTTGGGCCCTAAACACTGACCAAATGCCTGTCAATAAGGATAATTGAAGGGAGGCAGATCTCTACAATTACATTGGACAGGGGAACAAGGACCTGATAGTGGGAAACAGGTCTCACACACAGCTAAGGAGTGTAATCAGTAAACTCCACATGTAGGGGAGAAATTGATCCCAGTAAATGATCAGATAGTGCCAAACTGTGGGAGGTAAATTCCTAGATTGTTGCCGAAAGGAATAAGCTACAGGAAGAATCTATAGCAAGAAATAGCCATTTCATTCACAATGCTGTGAGGCCAAATATAACTTATTTATTGTTTTAATCTATCAGAAGAATTCTTAATTCTTTTGAGTTACCTCATGATATGATGGCTGTATAGCTGGCTTGGCCATTCCATATCAATCAACAATCAAAAAATGCCTAGAGGCCAATATGATAACAGGCAATTTTTCAATTGTGGTTCTCTCTTGACAAGTGACTTTGGTTTGTGTTAAGCTGAAAAGAACTAAGCAACTCCCTAGGAGATAATGAACTTTTTGCAGCAGACTGTGTCTAGTGCTGGGCTGACAGATGATAGTTGCTACTGCCATGTTTTCTCAGGCCCTGGCTTGTAGCTATGGTATATGCTAGTATGTCTTCTTGCTTAGTTCAATAGCCTTGTCCTGTTAGGCTTCCCAGCCTTTGTCATTATAAGCTGTTTTCTTTGGACAGTGACCCATTTTTCAGTTTTGGCTCTGGTTTCCCCAGGATGAGACTTTCCTCCACTCAGACAGAAGAGAAATTGCTACTCAGTGAAAGTTACTCTGTTAGAGCCTCATCCAACATTTGTGGGATCCCTGAACAAATATGAAGCTATTCAAAATGGTGTCTTGGAAAACACTCAAACAAACAGGTGCATTCCCTTGTTGTGTGTTGTGGAGACACTGCAGAAAACATCAGAGCTAGCCTATAGGACAACCAATGAAAGGACTCTAAGACCACTGGTGAGGAAGGGACTGAAAGCTAGGCCAGGATCCAGTATCTAGCTATGTCACGCATCATAGCATCCTCCACATGCTGGAGGAGGTCATGGCTGCTTTTCTTTTCCCCTTTATGACTTTCTTCCCATTTTCTGATACAAGGAAGGGTGGAATCTGAGGTGCTAGAATTGGCCAAACTCTTGTTTCCCACACTGCCAGTCTTGTAGTCTTACTTGTTTGTACCAAGAGTGGAGAAGACAATTGAAGTGTTGTGGTCAGCGCTGCCTGTTTTAAATTTGGAGACACTGCAGAGTGAAGTAGGATGATATTGTCACCAGGTCTCATCATGAAGGTCCTGTTTATTGTGAGACAGTGCATCTTTTTAAGGAGTGTCTTGAGAGCAAGGCTTGGAGTTCTGTAACAGTGTCCTCCTAATTTAAGCCTTTCCTCCAGTTGTGGGTAGGGAGCTCCAGAGACCCTGGAGATAAAGAAAGTACATATGTGTAGGAATGCCCAAACAAAATTAGCAAGGTCTCCTTGTCAATGCTGTGGAAACCATAGCCAACTGCTGAGCGGGAGATGATCTCAGACCTGCCCATCTGCCCACACGTTGTTCAGAGGCCTCCAATGTTGCAGCAGCTTTCTTGGATTGCCATTTGCATTAGGGTGGACTTCCTGGTGATGCAGCTGTTATTTTAAAAATTTATTTATTTAACATGTTTATGTTGTGCTGGAGTAAACGTATATGAACCACATGCATATAAATGCCTGAAGAAGCCAGATCCCACATGGTTGCAGGTCATCTGACATGGATATGAGATTTCAACCTGAGTACTCTGTGAGAGAAGAGAGCCACCTTAATCGCTGAGCCATCTCTGTAGCTTGAAGCAGCTACTTCCGAATAACCCCTGCTCCTTAGATAACCTCACTCATACTCTTTTTAGCAACCTCAATAAAACTTAGTGACTTACTAAGTTGGATTTTGCTATAATTTTTACTTTGTTCTGTCGTGAATTTCCTGTTGTGGGTTGTGTGTGTGTGTGTGTGTGTGTGTGTGTGTGTATTTGAGTGTGCCCTAAGAAAAGTCTCTCATACAATACTTGGAGAGTAACAGGGGCAGTATTGAATGCTCTGAGAGCAAGAGCAAGGCATTTATCTACCCTCATAGACACTCAGGGAAAGGCTGAGCTCCACACCTTCTGTAACCAACACAATGCTTGCATCCTGATGAATGCAAAGCAAGCACAGTCAAGGTATAAAACAGAATATGGGAGTGGGAGTCATTTCTGCACAATGCCCTTCCTGAGTGATTTTGATTTTATTTAGGATGCCTGTATATATTCATACAAGGGTTGACCTGTTCTTAAAACAGTTTAGTTTAAAGCCATGGGGATTAAAGTGATGGATAGAAATATATCTGGTCACACTCAGCTTGCACAATAAAGTTTTATCTGAGAACAAACGTACGATG